CCCCCCCCCCCCCCCCCCTCCACATTTTGTCAAAACCCTGGCTACGCCACTGGCATATACTATACTTGCCATGCATGCACGTGCCTTCCCTTTATCAGGGTAATAATATAAAACGACATGTCACTTATATCGTTTTTGTCACCGTTATCGATTTTGCCAGGGTATTATTTTGTGACTGATATCGCTATTTATCCCGCTATTTTAATGATTGTTGCATTGGGGCAATGATTAATATTCAAACAAATTTTGACCTTGACAAAGGCACTAGTATATATATAATAAACAGATTATCATAATCGGGACGAGGCAATATCAGTTTTAGAAAGGAACGTTATACATTGTTGAGACATTCCCACTGAAGAACAGTGGCGACTGGCGTAGCCACAAACTCGTCCCCAGGGTCTTCTTGGCGTAGCCAGCGGTCCCGCTGTCCCGCCAGGCGGGACAAACAATTTCCAAAAAAATGAGTAAATGTTCATAGTGAAGCAAAAATCACAGCTTTGCTTATTCTGAAAATTTAAATATTAATTAGGCCTATGATCATTTTCAGTGCTTTCATTTGTCATTTATTAAAAGTTTACGCAATATTGCTGTCTGCATGCTCTTTGACCTCTAACTCTTTGTTGTCTAGCAACTGATACCCTGCAGAATTAGCTAATTTCCATGCAATTTGTTGCTTACTTGCGCAATTCGTGAATCGCATGTCTCTTGTTCCGCTGATTTTCATGTGGCGGAATATGCAATACTATCTTATACAAGAAATTCTGGTTTCTGGTTGGATAATTGGCACAGCGGTTGTTTTTAATGCCGAAGTCCCGCTATTTTATGAAGGCGGAGGTTGTTAATATTCAAACCTTTCTGACGAAGCTTTCTGCGCGAGTATTCACGGCTGTGACGGTGGTAGGTCATTATCCATATCATATTTGATATTGCTTTTGTGATTTGTATACAATGGCTTGAACGAGCGTGACGAACCTTATGGAAAACCATAGCGGAATTTCATTTCATTCGGTGCGTTTAGCATTATATATGTGGTGCTTTTATCTATATACGAGGTGCTCTAGTCTTTACATTATACGCGGTGCTTCGAGTTCAAGCATTATACGCGATGATTTTGCCATTATATATTGGCTACACGCAACATTATACGAGGTGCTTTTAACATTATATACGCGGTGCTTGAGCAGTGGCGGCGCCAGGGGGGGGCAAGGGGGGGCAAATGCCCCCCCAAAATTATTTTTTGCCCCCCCCATTTTGCCCCCCCTCAAAAAAATTATTAGTCACTAAGAGCGACTAAAGGCTACACAAGCGTTCTGTCGTTATCGGAAAATGTATGGCTTATAAGTTGTCATTACTCATTAGTGAATGCGCGTATACATGAAACTGTTTTTTACAGTTTCAATATTAGTTTGTAAATCTCTGAATGGTAAAACTTGCCAATACTCCAATAATACGATTCAAAAAAAGACAAAAAAGCTTTAGTTTTGAAGAGTTAAATTCTCAAACGTGTAAGGCAATAATAAGATGAAAGTATCACGAAATTATTTGAATAAACCACATCGCATATATGAGGGGCGAATGTCCTAAAGAGGGGCGATATTCCTATCTAGAGTATTCGCCCCACCCCCCTGGGAGGCGATATTCCTAGGATATTCGCCCCCGGGGGCGATATTCCTAGGAATATCGCCACGTTTTGAGGGGGGGGGGGCGAATTTCCTGGGGGGCGACCTTTTTAAAAATTCTATCTTGCCCCCCCAAAATTTGAGTTTGCCCCTCAAATGCCCCCCCAAATTTGGAAGCCTGGCGCCGCCACTGTGCTTGAGACATTTCATAATATACGCGGTGCTTGAGACATACGAGATGCCTTTAGCATTATACGCGGTGCTTGAGACATTATACGCGGTACCTTGGGCATTGATTGTACGCAGTGGTTTTATCATTATATGCAGTGCTGTAACTACTTGCTGTGATTTCAACATCATACGCGGTGCTTGAGACATTATACGAGGTGCAGTAATTAATTATTCGTTGTGCCGCAGACTCAGTGCAGAGGGCAATTTTTTTTGCCTAACACAGCACTTCTCTGAGTTCACACAGATCTTCTCTGAGGCGTCTGAGCCAGATGGCATTTTTTGTATTTTACGAAGGGAAAATACTCCTGTTAGAGGTGTATGGAAACTTTGTTTAGTGACATCCTTCCACCCTCGAAATCGCAGGAAATGCCATTTCCGAGGTTCTAGATTTCACATTTTCTCGGGGGGGGGGGGGGACATGCCCCCGAACCCCTCTAGGAAGGTCGCACCTTCGGTGCGAGGGCCCAGCCTTCGGCGGGACGATTTTTTTAGCCAGCTACGCCAGTTTAGAAGCCGTCATTGTGACTCGTCTGGGACAAAAATATTATGTATAATGTTGTGTATGTCCTGCATAGAAGTTTTTAATTAAACAAACAAATTCATATAAAATCCAGAGATAATATCCCACAAACTCTTACAACTTTAGTGCTATTTTTATCTTTGAGGTATTGTTTTGGCCGTTGACTATAAAAGGCAATATGTACAGTGATTATAATATCTATTTAATGCAACAGCTCGTCATCTACGAATCTCGTTATCTAGCGTGCATGACGAATTAACTTCTTTTTCTCTTGTAACTACACATTAATTGTTTAGTGTGTATTTGAGAGGAAAACGTGTTCCTGGGATTTCTAAAATCCAGCTGGACGTAGTTTTATCTCAGTTTTCTTCATGGATCTGCTGTCCCTTTTCCAATGGTGCCATCTTATTCCTTGATAAGATTTCTCCCCTGCCTTGAGGTATTGACCATTGAGGTTGGAGTGGTGACATTGTTTATACCACCAAGCACCTTGGCTGTCCACAGCACAGTTGCTGCCCTTTTGATCATTATCTCTGTCGTAGGTAGAGAACTTCATTCCGTTGTGATATGTCAACGAGTCACCAGCATTACCTTAGATATATGTAAAACACCTTAATACTTGGAATGCGTATACTAGTGTCACATCTTAATCCAAAACGTACTCAATGATAAATTGTCAGTACGGCGCACGTTTTACTTTGCCTATACCGACGTTTTTCACGTGACTGTACGTTCAGACGCGTACGAGAAGGAAAAATTGGGGGAGGAGAATGAAACTTACCAGACTTCAATTTCCCATGCATTGCGCCCGACTTATCAAACACCGAAAACATTTTTTGCCATCTGTTATAATTTCTCATAACTCCTATATATTTCAAACATTTTCGACCATTATATTGCATATTTCTTCTTTTTAAAATTATTTCCCGTTAATTATTTACGTTGATAATTTGCCCAACTTCATTTTTGGGGTTGCCGCCCCCCGCCCAGTACGCCTATGAATACGTTTTAGACAACATGGCTTTGTGTCTGAAGTTGCGTTGCAAGGTCAGAAAAAATTGCGTCCTGTAAATGACCTTATTAAGGCATATAAGCCAGGCCTCGAATTTCCCTAAAATCAATCGACGGCAATGGCGTTAAAAATTGCCGTATAGAACGTAACAGCTGTCTGTGGCAATTTTGACATTTTCCACGGCATTTTTCAAATTAGTATTACTGTAATAAAAATTTAATTTTATTGTTACTTTGGATTGCTGACAAGCTAGAAACATGTTAACGTATTTCTTTAGTGTTTTTTTTTCTCGAAGAAAACTGAGACTAAAATAGTAGTTTACGCATGATTTGATCAACATCTGAATTCAAGTATCAAAATAGTAATGCACAGTGAATAGTATAAAAATTACACTATACGGCATTTTGTTCTCACTGTACGGCAATTGCCGCGATTGCCGCGATAAAATTCGAGCCCTGATATAAGCCACACCCTACTCCCTCCCTGCATGGCTTCACCACTATTTCCATACTCTATTTTATCAAATTTATATTTATCAAATCATATATTTACCTGAAAAACTACCCAGGTCCAGTCTATAACCGTCAGACTCAGACGCAACAGAAAATGATCCATACTTTGCGTACGCTGTGTCGCTATTCCAATCCGTCAAGTCCACTCTTAGAACATTTTGTCCTGATTTTGTCAAACGATGTATTCGATCCAATCCAAGCCAAAAATTACCGTTAAGATCACCAAAACCATTTTTGTAATCTTGCCATCCACGATAGAAATCTACACTTGCGTCTTGTCTTCTTTGGAACATTGTCCACCCTCCACCATCTGTTTGCATATCACATCTGACTTGGAAAGATCCAAGGCCATCAGGGTTGATAGTGTAAACACCATCTTTTCTTTCACCAGATTTGTACAAACTTGAACAATTTGCCACAGGTTTCGATGTTGTCGAGATAGATTTGCTTGTGGTGGGTTGAACTAATAGAATATAAACAGTAAAAATTTATGTCAACCTGTTCTGTGTATACACCATCTTTTCTTTCACCAGATTTGTGATAGACTTGCTCGACGTTTTCCCCATAACACTCGAAAATACAATATATATTATTGGAGTAAATTGCGTCTGTCTTTGTTCGTGAAACTTGCCTGCATTTGGATACCGTCAGTTTGTTTTAAAACTTGAAACTAGAAAAACATGCATGGCCGCGATGTGCAGGCTTACACTAGGGCGCCTCTGACGAACACACCCATACAAGGCATATTTTAACATCAGTGAGGGGACATTTGGTCTCGGAGGCCACACTAGTTAGTGGTTCAGACTGAACCTTAACCATACCATGATAACCTAAATCTTACTCTGAGGAGCTCGCACTGGGCCTTAACCTTTGTTATGGCACCCCACTGTAAAACGTTTAAGCACTCGCTGCGGCAACACTGCGCATGATGCCAGCTGGCACTGCAGATTGTGTTGTGGTTACCACGCTTGGCTTTCAGGCTGGTAAACTCGGGTTCGATACCTGGTCTGACTTCTACTCAAGATCTTCAATAATTGAGGAGAAAATGCTACCTTTACATTGACATCAGTAAATGGTTAGACAATAGACATTCGCGTTTTCTCGAATAGGAACGTTGCATGGTAGGTACCTCGTATTCCCTACCAATTGACTATTTGCGTAATAGACTAAATTTTGAACTAAACAAGTCTAGACAAAAATTTCATCACAGCTTGAAGGAGCATCACAAAATTAGCAATATTCCAAAGTTTCGTTGCAAAATGTTGTAAAATGCGGAAAATATAGCCTTGCGAAATTTGCAATTTTCAGTCATTTTAGATTACAAACGGGAAATTGACAGCCCCAAACCCTTCGAGGCTGTCAATTTCCGGTTTGTAATCTAAAATGACTGAAAATTGTAAATTTCGCAAGGCTATATTTTCCGCATTTTACAACATTTTGCAACGAAACTTTGGAATATTCCTAATTTTGTGATGCTCTTTCAAGCTGTAATGAAATTTTTGTTGAGATAAAAATTTAGTCTATTGCGCAAATGCTCAATTAGGCAATGGCCTGTTGCGAAATCCGCTGACCAATGAGTGAGAAACTCAATAAACTTAGACATGCATGCATACGACACAGAGTACAACTGACATGGAAGGATAAGTAGTTTTGTTGAGGTGGGAAAACCAGAGTAGCCCGGTTGAAAACTCGAAGCACATGCAGTAGCGGGAAACAACCAACCACAACTCTATTCATGTGCCGTTTTCAGCAGAACAAGCTAGTTTTCCAATTCAGGATAAATAATACCAGGCCAGAACCCTCAGTATAGCGGGCCTTGAAGTCAGCGGTATAATCGTGAGGAATACCTTCAGACGTTTTCTTTTTATCATTTTCATTTTCTGCCTATAAGATAAGAAAATTAATTTTCAAAAACCGAAACACATAAATAATATAACAATTAGGGGTCTGAGGTCTGTTGCCAGAAACCCGAATTTCAAAAATGAATGAATCTTTAACTGAGACGTGCTTTCTACACGAACCAGAACGATTGGCGAAGATTATCTTAACGAACCAGAACCTTTAGCGAACCATTTCAATCAGCAATTAATACGAACCAGAACCATTAGCAAACCATTTCAATCACTGATTAATACGAATCAGAACCATTAGCGAACCATTTCAATCACTAATTAATACGAACCAGAACCATTAGCGAACCATTTCAATTACTAATTAATACCACAGAAAGGCCATCCTGGGTCTTATTAGGGCCATTTATACGGGACAAAATAAGTCGCGTCTTACATAAGACGCGTCTTATATAAGCTGAGTTATCGCATAAATGGTTCTCTACGGATTTATTCTTATTTACTTGCTATAGCTATAATGTTGTTTCGGTTGTTTTTGTTTGAATATGCAAGGCTAATAATTTTACGTTGTTTCAAGTTTCGGGCATGTGTAGTTAGAATTTTTGTTTAAAATTTCTTATTTAAGACGCGACTTAAATAAGAACAGCTAAAAGTCCTGTTCTTATGTAAGACGCGTATCCAAGACGCGTCTTACATAAGAATTTTGTACCTTTTATACGACAAACTCGCGTCTTATTTAAGTCGCGTCTTATGTAAGTCGCGTCTTATTTTGTCCTGTATAAATATAATGGCCCTATTGAAGTTATGTATTAGAATTACGTATGAAATATATAGCTCAGTGCTCTGAGCTCAGTGTTGAAGCCTGCGATTTAGAAATAAATCTGGTATTTCCAAGTACCCATGTATTTTTCTGTTTATTATATAAACAAAATTCAGTGAAAAACAATAAAACGTCCGTGGCAATGCGTTTTACAACAAATGATATTTTCACACGTAAAAATATCGTATTTTTTACGTGTGCTTATTTTCTCAGTGGCCAAAAACTCTATATAACACTTACGTTTATATAATAAATAGAGAATAATATATGGGTGCGCGGAAATACCAGATTTATTTCGAGTGTTGAACATGATATCTCATGAGTGCATGAACGCAGCGAACGACGGTGAGATATCATGTTTAACTCACGAGAAATAAATCTGGTATTTCCAAGCACCCATGTATTTTTCTGTTTATTATATAAAGGACAGTCTTTGAAAAGCGATAATTTTTACAGAAAAGCGATAATTGAAAAGCAATAATTTTCACATGTGAGATTATCATAAATAATCTCACATGTGAGATTATCACTTTTATAAGTGCTCGAAATCTCTTTCAAAAATCATTAATAATTCATGAAGCAATTATCCAATCTTGAGTAAGAAATCAGTCACGTGCATACGTCTTTATACCAGGTAATAAAAGAACACTTTAACAAAAGACCATTGTTATGCAAACTATATAAAGATTTTTATATAAAGATTTTTATATAAAGATTTGACTTATTATGCAACGTTTTTGAAGACATTTAAAAAACTCGCAGGTCGTGTTTTATTAGGTAAAACCTAATAAAACACTCCTGCTCGTTTTTTACTGAAATAGTACTTCAAACACTCATTAATAATTCATAAGCTTATTGGCAAATCATGTTAACCATAATATGTCACGTGCATGTTCTGTTTATTATATAAAGGACAGTCTTTGAAAAGCGATAATTTTTACAGAAAAGCGATAATTGAAAAGCAATAATTTTCACATGTGAGATTATCATAAATAATCTCACATGTGAGATTATCACTTTTATAAGTGCTCGAAATCTCTTTCAAAAACTCATTAATAATTCATGAAGCAATTATCCAATCTTGAGTAAGAAATTAGTCACGTGCATACGTCTTTATACCAGGTAATAAAAGAACACTTTAACAAAAGACCATTGTTATGCAAACTATATAAAGATTTTTATATAAAGATTTTTATATAAAGATTTGACTTATTATGCAACGTTTTTGAAGACATTTAAAAAACTCGCAGGTCGTGTTTTATTAGGTAAAACCTAATAAAACACTCCTGCTCGTTTTTTACTGAAATAGTACTTCAAACACTCATTAATAATGCATAAGCTTATTGGCAAATCATGTTGACCATAATATGTCACGTGCAGTGGCTTTAAACCTGATAAAACACTCCTATAATTAATATTCTTTATATAAAGAATACTGATAAGGCAGTATCTATTGTAGTCGTGTCCTCGTTAGTATTTTTTATATAAAGAATACTAATAAGGCAGTAAATCTATTGAATTTGTATAGTCGTGTTTGAAGCCGTTCAATAAACTCGCAGGTCGTGTTTTATTAGGTCTAAAGCCACTCGCGCTGCGCGCTCGTGGCTTTAAACCTAATAAAACACTCCTGCTCGTTTATTAAACAGTACATAAAGCACTATACTTTATATAACAAATATAGGTAAAACGAAAAACTATATTACGCTCTATCTATATGGTATTGAGCACTGTTTGTGTTTCGTAAACCAAAATCTTAAGCTATATATATATATATATATATATATATATATATATATATATATATATATATATATATATATATATATATATATATACATATATATGCATGTAGCATTTTATCTAATATATATATGTATATATATATATATATATATATAATATTAATGAGACCAAAGATGATCAAATTTTACAGTGTAGAAAGAGTGCTCAATACCATTTAATAACGTAGAGCAAATAATTTAATTTCTTAACTTAAAATATAGTCACAACTCTGAGTTTCACGCTCAATGCGATCTTCAGGCGACAATGTTTAAATCTCAATAAAAAAAAATTCCTGTGTGATTACGTGCGAGTTCGTTAGGCTACTTGCGTGATGGTATTGCGTGCGCACGTTCAAATTTTCCCGCCAAGAATTGTTTCCGGTGGCAACACTTCGAGAATAGCTCACATCTCCTGTTCAGCAATCTTTTCTTATCACCTTTCAAAATTTCGAGTTTCTCTTGGAGGCATAGGTTGCAAGTTTTTGCGCCGCTGCGATAAGATGATGCTTGCTTCAGAATGGACCACTTGATTTTGAATGTACGTTTCTTGTTTTTCAAGTTCCAAATGTGTTTGGACAGCTCAGTGGATTTAACATAGCTCGTATCTTTGAATGAGGTCTTGTGGTTGTAATAACGTTTCTTAAACGTGTTTGATGTCATCCCAATATAATCTCGAATTACTCCTGTGTCGTCTGTAACCTCGGCTTTATAAAGCCGAGGTTATAAAGCCGGTAATGTTTATAAAGCCGAGGTTACAGACAACACAGGAGTAATTCGAGATTATATTGGGATGACATCAAACACGTTTAAGAAACGTTATTACAACCTTATATATATATATATATATATATATATATATATATATATATATATATATATATATATATATATATATATATATATATATATATATGTATATATATGTATGTATATGTATGTATAGGTCTTAA